ATTATATATTGTATAATTGGAATCAAATATCTGTAAACAATAAATTATGGCTTTTATGGAAGAAATTCATTCATTTATTCATATAATCATCCTACCTTAATCCATTTCCCCTCTTTCAAATCACTCTTCAATGAACTATTTTCCTCCTCACAAAAGTTAATATCTTTTTGGTAATCTTCATTTATAGTCCATTGTCCATTGACCATGGGCATTAATTTATTAATCTAGTCCATTCGAATTTCAGCAATAATTAAATGGGAGTAAGATTGAACAATAATGTTAGATTATTGTGGAAAAGTGTCAAGAATTGTTAAAAACTGATCCACCATGTTTGTTTTGTTGGGTCCCACCCAGTATAACTCAGCAAGGAGTCAACACTCAGCAGTACTCAGCGGCGGATTTTTCATTTCTCATTCGTGCGTTGCATTCGTGCCTTTATACGCCAATAAAAAATCAGAAACCAAATAATTGTGATATTGATCTATAAAAACCATTTGGAAGCATACAAACAAACATTCATTCAAATAGAATGGACGATTTAGGTGAGTAATTGCTTAATAATCCTATTATATGGTTAAATAACCTCAAATTTATCATCCACAATAAAATGTCAAATATTTATTTTATCGTCACTACTTGGGTCTAATATGGTTCTTCCATTCTATGATAAAACTAAAGATTTCTCCGTTTCTCGGCTGTAATCATTTAGCGTTTGTTTGTTTTTTTTTTAAAGAACTGATTATTCAATTTTTATTCTCAATGCTCTATAGAAAAAAATAAATACCCGAGAAATGAAAAATTATTTGATTTTTATTACTTATTGCTTACGTTTTGGTTACCATTAAGGTGTGATACGTCAGCGCTACTTTTAGCTTATAATGATATTTATAATCGGAGAATGAATCAGAGCATATTTGTGCTTGTTAAGATAAATTTGTGTTATTCCTAGATGAATGGAAAAACGTCACAAATATCTATCAATTCTTAAAACAAACTTGATCAGGCGCAAGGTTTACAATTAATCTTTATTTTTTTATTACTTATTTGAAATTGCATAACTCTTTCACCCCGTGATCTCGATCTTTTACATTTTGTTATCAAGTTTTTTGGTTTCTTTATTCATCTCATAAAGACATTTCCAAGAAAAAAAAATTTTTATGAGCGGTCAATTTTTGAGTTCATCTGAAAAATAAACAAATTTTAATATGCTAACCATCAAATAAAATTCACAATATACAAAATCATAGGAGAATTTTACTCCCTGTAAAATGGACTTTATTTTTATTTTTTTTTTAGTTTTTTTCCTAATTTTTAAATTTAAATATAGAGGTGGGGTAAAACGTGTCGTGTGCGTAAAATGGACTCATCTATCATTTTAAGGATGTTTAACCACTCAAATGAGCAACCGTGTCGCAAAATAAAACAAAAAATTCAAATAAATCATTTACGATATAAATAATTTTTTCTATTAATTTACAAGTCTCATGGTATACTTTTTGGTTCGGATTATGAAGAAATATGGAAAATGTTTATAAACATTAACGTATAACTGACTACTGTGCTAATGCTAGAGTTTTGATCGTGCAACACCGCATTTAGCGAGGTGCTCTGCCATCACTGTTTCATCATCATCTACCTTGGCGACATTACTCAGCTATAAGACCGACGTTGTCAAATTTTTTTTCCAATCGTAATGGTGGCCACTTTTTTTTCAGATCTTTCCAAAAATCAATCACAAATTTCTCGCGTATTGTATTGGGTACTCTCTAATTTTTCTCGCCAGTAAAATATTCCACATATTGTCAAGTAAATGAATGGATTTTTTGCCTTTACATTTTCCCATAAGACTCTGTGTCACAAATGTTTAATTATCATCTCACTAAAATAGATGGATGGGGGGCGGGGCGGGGGCGGAGAATGTGAGTTGCGTATGGTCCATACTTTCAGCTATTATATAAAAAAAAATGTAGACTGTATTGAACATTGTCGGTATCGGTACACATCCCTAATCGGTTTTTTACTTTAGTAATGAGTATATAATAAATAGGGAAAACGGGTGCAAAACTGACACTATAAAATTTTTTGGCGTCACTCGATTTTTTGATTTTTTAATTTCCATAATTTGTTTTGTTTGAATCATCAAAAAAACAAAGAAATGAAAATTAAGTCGCCTCAGTATAAATTTTTCAATTAGCAAATATATGGATAACTCTCCGCCGGCTGCGCTATTTGTCAAATCACCTTAATTGGAGATCATTTTTAACCGATAACGTTCTGAACAAAATAAAAATTAAAAAGAAGCACCCCGATATAATCATCCTCTATTACTTTCAGATGCTTTGTTGGCTGATCTACAGAACACCATTTCTTCTGAGGGGACTCACCAACATCACCAATTAGGAACCAGTCCTACCCCTGGCTACGGTTCCTTAAATGGATCCAGAAATCATACAGCACCAGTTTACCGCGTTTCTGATAATCGGATTCCTTCACTCCCGTCGCAGTCGGTAAGCTAGGAAATAAACAACCTCCCACAATTTCGTCTATATTATAGATATTATCGTCTTTGTATATGAACAACTTGAGTATGTAACTGAATTGACATTAGAGAACGCGCCATCGTTTTTTCCTTATCATGAAAGCAGAGATACGTAAATGAAGTTCGCCTGAGTCGAAACTCGTAAGACTGATTCCTTATTGGTCAACTCGAATCCGAAGTCGAAATTCGAATTCGGCGCACGGAGTGCGCAGTAGATCTCGTATATGAAGATAG